ATGTATTTTGGTGTTGATAAATACGTCCTACAAGGGGGGTTTCAGTGGCTCTCTAAATTTTCTTTAGAAATACACTCAAAGTTTTATTATTTACTATCTCTAACATCACAGTGCAGCCTCGACAGGTTGATACTGTAGACACACTATCCACTCAGCTCTTTTCTTTGTCCTGTTATTCGTCTGTGCATCAAATAAGTAACTCCCATGTCGTCTTTCCAGAGGAAGTATCCGATGCATTATAAAGTAGCGCTCATCATCAACTACCTTGGCCACTGTATCTCTGTGGGAGCTCTAGTCGTGGCCTTCATTCTCTTCTTGTGCTTAAGGCAAGTACAGAAATAGTGCATCTCTAAATGTGTCCTGCAGTAGCCTTGGACTGCTTATCATTAACTCGCTTATGTCAAATGAATAGATGTCTGTAGAGCGGCTCAGCTGAGGCAGTCAGGTGTAGAAAAAGCATAATTTTTATTTCACAACACTTCTCATCACATTCGCTCGCACACACACACACACACAGAAACACACACACTCATGCACGCACACACACACCTTTATATAACGAGCATCAAACGGCCTCAGCTGTGCTGTGCAATAGGTTTTGGTCAATGTTGGCTTCCAAGCAAATATTGATCTCCAGAGATTAAAGAACAAAGTAGTCAATATTTTGTTCCAGATTTAAGTCTCTTAAGATTTCATGGCCCATTCAACAACAACCCTTGGATGTTTATTGTCCACAACATAGAAAATTATCTGGGAAATGCTTTTTTAACCTTGTCCAAACTAAAAAAGTTCATAAAAGCCTTAAAATCTAAGTATTCATGTTTTAATAGCTCTTTGGAGCAGGGGTGGGGATTTTCCGGCCTTCCGGTCGTGAGGCATTTTGATCCGGCTTGTGAGGCAACTCATAATTACACAAAAATGGTCGTGACAGCGATTTCTTTCCTCTGCAATAAAAATAGAATAACAGAGTAGTACATTTACATGATCTTCAGAGTGGTCAGTCAGACAGGATGTTCATTTCTCTATTTCTCATGAGTAACAAGATTAACATGTACTATTTGGAAAGAATATTTATAGTTATGTGTCTGTGACATATTCAAAAATACAAATACAACTTTACAATGCGTTAGTTTTTTACATGTGGAAATAGCAGCGTAAGCAATAAAACATTAATTCTTCTTACATGTTTAAACAGTACTCAGTATAAAATGTCTGCTCTGACTCCACTATATACATTTTGCTATGACAACTGTCTCCATGAAAACGTGATCATCTAACATCTCTTCTGTTTGTCTCGTGGTTCAGGAGCATTCGATGTCTTCGAAACATCATCCACTGGAACTTGATCACCACCTTCATACTGAGGAATGTTATGTGGTTTTTGCTTCAGTTGATAGACCACAATATTCATGAGAGCAATGAGGTAACGGCACACGTGTCTCATGAAACGCATTTTTACTCAAGAGTGCAGAAAGTAATTAAAAAGATTGTCTTGATAGAATCATAAGAGGAAAACTGTCCCTTTCTTTTTAAAGACTTTGCATCTTGTCCTTTTGTTTCTCTCTTTCAGCCGTGGTGTCGATTAATAACGACAATATACAACTACTTTGTGGTGACCAACTTTTTTTGGATGTTTGTTGAAGGATGTTACCTCCACACAGCCATCGTAATGACTTATTCCACTGATAAGCTCAGGAAGTGGGTCTTCCTCTTCATCGGCTGGTGTGAGTATGTACCTGCTGACTGTGCATCGCTCTCACCAACACTCAGCTCTGGGTTCTGTTCAATACACAGGGTGCGAGTTCATGCCTAACCTGGGAAAAAAGAGATAAAACAATCTCACGGTCCATTTAAAGAAGGCTCTGATGCTTGATGTCAGTTATTTTGACGCTTACAAACAGGGTCCCACATGAGCACCCACCGAGAGCCAAATCTGAGTAGATTTTCCATTCGCCGGGTAAATCTTAGAAGTTCAGCCGCCACACTGGTGGGTAATAGTTTGCAACAGAATAGACATGTCATTAGATATCATCCTGAGATTCTCTCTCCGGCACTTTGATGTACAAGCACGCTGCTTCTTTCCTCTTATCTCTGTATTTTGTCGCTAAATAACAAATCATAGCCAATCAGCACTATTACTTGCCACAGCTCTGCGGCTAGCTACCATCAGGTGCCATCCAAACTAAATGCAAAACAAAACCCCACAGAGGTAAAAGATATAGTCTCTACAAAGTTCAATCACTGTTGGTGGTCCGGGGAGGACATGGTTGCATGAAGCTGGTGTCAAAGCAATGCATGATGGTGGTTATTTGAACCGTATGTATTAAAAAGACAACTGAAACAACTCAATTGTCGTATTAAATAAACGTTGAAATTGGAAAACATCATTTGACTGTGTGAACACAGCAAGTGTCACATGGGTTGCGTGTCTGAGTCCTGGGCTCAGTTGGAGCTTCTCTTGTCAGCAGCTTCTGTGACAGCGCTAACGGCAACGTCTCGGAAAAGCAGCAGAGCAGTTCACAGTGAGGAGTCTGAGGAGGAGCTTTAAGATGATTAAATATCAAACAAAGTTCACAAAACCGATCTCTGTCAAGTTTGTACTTAACACCTCCAGAGAGGTTGTCAAAAAAATCGAACTATAGCCAGACAGCAGGAGACGGACCAACAGAGATCCCCACATTTAAAATGTTTAAAGGAAAACTTGATTGTCAAACAGCCGGACCATAGTTTTATCTGCCCAGTTCAGGGTGAACTTCTCCACAAGTGAAAGCACTTTTCCACAAGTGAAAGCACGTAATTGGCAGCTGGTCAGCGGGTGAAGTGGAGAACAGAACAGCACTGACGTGTGGGAAATATCTTTTTATTTGGCTGATTGTCCTGAAGCGGATGTCCTGTCCTGAACACGTCAAAATCCTGCAAACTAAGTTATTATTAGAGGAAGTTATTAGAGGAAGCAAAGTATTAAATTGGATGGAGTCAAAACCAGTGTCAGAATATTTGATGTTGAGGCAGAAAATTGCCCATGGAACCATGATTCACTGTCTCTCTGAGACAGATACTTTACTCAAATGATTCAGCGGAGCGTTGAACAAGACAATGAAATATGAATGTATCACAGATCACATATTATCAGCATGACAGTTTGATAACATGGTTACGAAGCTCATATTGGCCTCAAAATAGAAATAAGCAGAGGAACATTTCAAACATATCAATCTTGTTTGAATGACTAAAATATCACTGAAATGTAACTTACACGCTCTCCTATCAGGATGATATGACCTCTGCAGCAACTCATCTGCACTTCATAACCTGTTAAATGTATTTTTAACACACAGTAACTTGAAAAATAGTATTTTAATTTTCTGCAATTAATGCCCATCATCTACTCTATGACACTAATCTGTGAAAGTAATATTATAATTTCTCCTTAACTAAAGATAAGAGTTAATGGTTGCCATGGGGATTCATACGTCACTGCAGCAAGAAAAAAAAATGCTAAAGAAGAATTCAAAAAAGAATATTGTAATTTTATATATATATATATATATATATATATATATATATATATATATATATTGATATGATATTATAATATTATTTAATTTATTTATTATTTATTAATTTCAATATGTCGAATTTTAAAAAAGATGTGTTATGACTCTGGTACAGTAGATACAAGGGCTATGCTGCACTTACAGCCATATACATATACAAAAATAAATTACATAATTATCAATATTCATCGTATTATTCCATATTTGAAATAGCTAGTGCCTTCAGTGAACCACAAGCCAGTAAAGAAAGTTTTGAGAGTGTGTTAACTTGAATTCACTACTAAATTATGAAAGTACAGGTCAGATTTAATCTTCTACGAGAGGCCAGATGTTAGCTGAGGTCAGAATAAGTTTGGACCTGCATTCTTTCATCTCCATTAAAGGGCTTTTCTCTGATTGTTTCACCTTTTTGGCAGAAACCCTTTGGACAGAAAGCTGAACGTTTCGGGCCACGCAGCTCTCAGTCGCCTTGTCTGATTTGTGTACTTTAGCTGGAAGATGTTTTGCTCAGTTAGCTTGTCAGCACCCTGGCAAGGTGGAGAGTCAAGTAGCGACGGCTTGTTTAAAAGGTTTTTCCTTGAACTGCTGTCCTGAGTGCTCTGGGGTGAAGCGGCGAGATATTCCAAAAGCACTTTGCCTGTTTAACTTGCATCTGAGCACGCTGCCAAAGAATCAGCCAAAAGGTTCTGGAGCAGCACAGTTCGGGAACTGTTAATATAACATATTGAAGCTCTGAGGTGCAGACAACAGCCATATGAATAGAAAAGATAGCCGCAAGTGTTCCAGAGGGAAAAAAGCTATAGTCAGTAATTTATATATATCCTTGAAATCTGTTTTGAAGAGAGAATGGCTGCACACCAAGTTCAAACACTATTTTATCACAGAAGATTCAACCACAGTTGATCTTTAAGTCAGATCTGATTAAATAAAAGCTCTGCAGCCAAGTGAGCCACCATCCTCTCCTCACAACATGTCACTCCTGCTGATCCCAGCAGAATAAGTGTGGTCTGTGTTCAGCAGCCACAAGCTGTTTTCTTGTTTTGTCACTGTGGGTTAATATATTATTCAAAAAAATTAGTTTGATTAGGAACTTTTTCTTTTCACAATTGTTGTGCAGTTGTTCAACATGTAAACAATCAATGGATCTCGGTTAAAAGAAAATCAGGCATATTTATCAGTCTGATAAATATGTCTGATAAATATGCCTGATTTGCAAGTCAGGCAGAGGATTAATAATTGTGTCTTTAATGAACTGTGACACTAATTAAATGTTGCTCCTGGCTTACATTTATCTTCTTTATTTTACAGGTATTCCCTTTCCTATAATCGTAGCCTGGGCTATTGGAAAGTTGTACTATGAAAACGAACAGTATGTAATCAAATAAGTTCCCCCGAATGTTTTCCTGAAATGTCCTTAATCAGCTGCTATAATGATTCTCTCCTCTCTTGTCAACAGATGTTGGTTTGGTAAAGAACCGGGAAAATATATGGATTATATTTATCAGGGACCAGTTATTCTTGTGCTTCTGGTAAGTAACAATGCAGGAAGCCATTTCCCTGTATCACCCATTATTTCCGCATTATTTATGAGAACCATTCATTCATATAACACAACACAAACATCAGATTCATCACTGGTGTATGCCTGTAGGGGTAAACTGATGAAAAAAAAATCTGCCCTGAGATGAAAATGGTTTTATAATGAAAGTCATTTCTATCCTGCAACCAGGTCATTGAAAGGTAGAATTAATCTTCTTGCTGGTTTAAAGCAGTTTCACACGTCTGAAACCTGATTATTAGAGTTAGTATTCATACAAATGTGTTCACTAATGGTCATGTACAAGCTGTTACCAGCACGTAGAGTATGGTGACCCCTTCTGATTCCTGGGCTCCTCTTTGACTCGCCCTCTGTTCCTCACTTTTAAGATGCAATCATTTTATTTTCTATTTCTATATATTTCTTTTAATACTATTTTATTTTATAATATTTGTATGCTGGGAGATTGAAAAACAAAGTAAGAATTTCATMACATGCTGTAAACTGTGTTTATCTGCTGTGTACATGACAATAAACATCTTGAATTGAATTGAATTTATTTTCTTTGTTTTGTTTTATAAAGTCTGTTTATTGTCTTCTTTCCTCAGATAAATTTTGTTTTCCTCTTCAACATAGTGAGAATTCTTATGACCAAACTACGAGCTTCGACTACATCTGAGACGATACAATACAGGTGAGTTGGTCCTACACGGGAAGCTGTACACTATAGAAAACAATTGTTTTGCTTTGTGTTGGCGACATACAGTGAGGAAATGTGTTTTCACACCAGTTTAGAAATCGGACTAATCTGTTTGTTTAGAATTATTTCGATTCCATACAAATCTCTGAGCCTGAGCAGCAAATATTTTCTGGGGTATTTGTGGATCAAAAGATCTGATATTAATAACAAGAAAATCTAATCACTGCAAAGCACCTTAATACTAGAGATTTATTATTGATGTCTTTGCTACATATTGGCTGCAATTGCAGTTATTGTCGGTGAATGAAAACAGTAAATCACGTTAAGAACATATTTTGATGTGTTTCGTTCAATCATCCATATGTTATCTACGGCGCTGATACTTTGAGGGTCGTGGGGTTCGCTGCAGCCCCAGCTGACTTTAGGAAAGAGGCAGGGTACCTGGAGAGGTCGCCAGCGTATCACAACACAGACAAACAACCTTTCACACCTACAGACAACTAACACCTCTTTTACACCAAAGTTATGTATATCTTGTATGTGCAGGTTTTTTTTAATTGCGGGTAAACCTGGAAATATCCTACATCAAGAACTCATTGAAAACTGAGCTGCTCTCTCACCTCGCTGTCTGGCCAAATTAATGCTTTCACCTGGGTGTCATGTTTCCATCACTACCCATCACAGCCAATAAAAAGCAGGAGTGAATGTTGATTATATCCATTGCAGATAAAAGCCAGATGTTAGCGGGTGTTGTTTGACGAGCACAAAAGGAGCTTGAGTCTCAATTTAACCTAACCACCAATCTGCATGTCTTTCTGAGGAAGCTGACATGTGGAGAACATGCAAACTCCACATTTAAAAGACAGGGATTTATTGGAGAACCGTCTTGCTTTGAGGCGTCAACCCCCGTGTTTCACTCCACAATTCATTTTTGGTCAAAATCTTGTTTGACACATCACTTTGTTATTGTTCATTATGTTTCCTCAAAACTCTCCCACTGTCATACAATAAAGTGACAAATTCATGTGCTTGACAGTTTCCTTGAAAATGAAAGGTGACATGTAATATATTGTGTTTCATTTGTCTGCCAGAGAGCCGTAGGCAGAAACTAGACAGCACTTTGGACCGAGGTACAAAATATTACAACAGAAAATGGAGTCTAGACAAACAAATTGAGCTGAGTGTGGTTACACTGCGAGACACCACTTGAGGTGGAGGAGAGATGAGTGAGAGGTGGGGAAGCTCTCATGTGTCTATCAGGACTTGATGACTGAGAAATAGGCAGAGATTTGGTGTGAGAGAGTCGAGTCCCACTTCATGTTGTCAGGTTGTGTTTCTGACCCCTGAAGTTGTGTGCTTGTTTTTTTGCTGCATCAACTGTGTCTGTCTCCTTTAGAGATTATTTTGGGATTATGTGGTGTTTGCTGTTACTGCGCCTCAGGCTGCTTCACCTCAGGCTTTCCAGGCTGGAGTGGGATTCATGGTTGTTGTGACAGATATGCTGCTGTCAGCGATTCAGATTTAATTAAGTGAGTGGAGGATTGGAGCATAAACTGTTTACCTTAAGTTAAAGCATCATGGCTCCTTCAAAACGCTGCTGGTTGTTACCAGAGCTGTTTCAGTACAAACAAGGGAGTGAAACACAAAAAGAAAGATTTTCTATTGAAAAATCCCTTGGGTTGGTGTTTATCCTCTTAATGCATTTCACTTCTTCATTGTAAAAATAACCCTTCAATGGATTCTTCAACCTTCTGATCATCAAAACCAAATCCATTAAATCTGACAATTTATGACTAATTAACACTTTTGACGACAACCTATGGGCCTATTAGGTAGACATAGTCTTATGCTGGGGACTATATCTGTTTTCATGATGTTCGTCTGTCCCATTGTTGTGAACAGGAAATCTCAGGGACAAACTTTCAGTTGGACTCGAGGATGGAATGATTAGATTTTGGTTCTTACGAAGCCTCGTGAACACATTATCTCAGGAACATCTCCAAAGAATCCTTTCAAATTTGGTAGAAGCCTTCAGTTGAACTCAAGGATGAACTGATTCCTATCAGAGGTCAAAGGTCGAGGTCACTGGGACCTCACACAATCCTTGTTTGCCTCATGAATGTGTAATGTTAAGAACACCTTGAGAAAATCCTCTCAAAATTAAGTGCAAATGTTCAGACGTGGAGTAACTGATTCAATTTTGGTGGTCAAAAGATCGAAGGTCAAGGCCTCACGAAGCATGTTTGGTCTCTTGATCATATCTGAAGTCTCCCTTTAGAAGATTTCTTCACATTTTGAGCAGTTGTCACTTGGAATTAAAGATCAACGGATTAGATTTCAGTGGTCAAAGATCACAGTGACCTCATGAGTCTGGAAAAGAAATGTTGACTGTAAAAAAGAAAAAATATAAACTGAAACTTCACTGATTGGCGGAGACATACAACCACAGTAATTAATGTAAACTAATAATTGCTGGAAAGAAGAGACAAACATAATCAAAAGGTTTTTATAGCTTATATCTCATCTTCAAAGCACAAGTAAATGATTTAATTAGTATTTATAAAGAGTTACACTGCATTTTAATGTGTGTCTTAAATAGGAAGTATTTCACACATTGCAAAAGAGAAAACTGTGACTCTCACAGCTCTGGTGGTGGGTGTGTGTTTCCGGCCACTTCTTGAGGCAGGATCATGCATTTTCTAAAAACTCCCATGAAATCCACATTCTCACATGACTCATTTCATAGATGTATCCTTGTCTTCACAGAAAAGCGGTGAAAGCAACACTGGTCCTGCTTCCTCTGCTGGGCATCACCTACATGCTCTTCTTTGTGAATCCGGGGGAGGACGACATCTCACAGATCGTTTTCATCTATTTCAACTCCTTTCTACAGTCGTTTCAGGTGAGGATGGGGATCATGTGACGCTGGCCCAGAAAACCTTGCACACACTCACTGTCAGTAAAGTGAACAGTGTGTGTGTGTGAATCATACTGATTTCATCTTATCGCCAAGTTGTATCACTTCTTTCAGGGTGACATTTCAGGCCGTGAGCCCACTTGTGGGAAGATGATGTGAACGAGCATCTTGGCTCTGCACAGAACTAACCCTCCTGCCTCATGTTCAGAGCTCTCAGCCGTCAGGATTAACGGGGCCACGTGGGCATGATTCCTGCTCTGTGGTCTTTTTTCTTTTAATCTATCTATCTTCTCTGCTTCAATGAGCGAGTAGGAGGACAGATTTAAAGAAGTTCCTCTTTGGTCGAGAACTATTGCTTGACAAGATTGAGAAAAGCATAAATCTATTTCCTTACGTGGCTCAGAGGAGATAGAGGAGTCGTCCAGGGATCAGAAGGTTTGCTGGCTTTTGCTGAGTGTGTCGAAGTGTCCTTGAGCAAGACGCTGGAACCCTGCTCCTAATGCCGTATGAATGAGTGTGTGCCAACAGGTTAATGAGAAATACATTTGAAATCTCTTTGAATAGCCGACAGACTAGAAAATTACTGTATAAATGCAGATCATTTACCATGAATTCTCCTCAGACAAATTAAGATGCCATTACACAAAGCTGCATTACTCCTGACTGTAATGTGTCCTGTTCTGCAGGGGTTCTTCGTGTCTGTGTTTTACTGCTTTCTAAATGGAGAGGTAAGTTTTTCAGGAGACATGTGAAATGTGTTTTTTGATATATGATCTTAATAAAATCACAAATGAATTTCATGAGATTAGTTCAGCTGATTTTTTTTAATTAACCTCCTAATTACAATTTTCAAAGTTCAAATGATTGGATGAGGAAACTTTCAAATGAAAGATGAAGAAATGAGTTACAACAATTTCCACTCCATCAATGAAAGTTTTAGCACCTTGATGAGCTTCCTACTAAAAACTTTTATTGAAGCTTGAGTCATTTTAATCAAATTAAAATAATAATAAATGGCTGGATTCAAAAGTCATAACTGCCGTCAGAAGATTAGACATTTGTTGGTCATTGTGAGGGACCCTCTCAGAGCTCTCGCCCAAACCCAGGATAAATGAAACTCAGGGGTGGAGAGGCGGTTCACTTGAGGAGGAGCTGTGAAGAAGTTCAAGATGTCAAATGGCCAAAGTGACTGTGTGGATTTCTTGATTGTTTTGATTCACCGCTGATGTAGATTTTGTGACTTTTCTTGGGTGTGCTTCAAAATGCCTGCTAGTCTTATTCATTCTTAAGGCTAATTAAACTTGTTACCACACCATATGCAAATTGGTGCTTCCAGTCATTATGTTAAGATAACATGTATCCGGGTTATGAACTTAATATTCAATCGTCTAACATGACAATTTTACTGATATTCTCATCTAATTTTCTGCATGAAAGTTGCCCAAATGCAACTATTACTTAAAGAGCTTAGGAGAAATGTTGAATCTGCCCTTTGTTTAAATCCACCTTCAAATTTGATGGGTTCTTTATTGTCCCATCCTTCCATCAAGTTTCATTAAAATCTGTTTTCTAGTTTTTTATCAATCCCTTTGCCAAACTAACAAATTGACTAAATCCTTTGCAGAAGTAAATTCAGCTTCAGGGTTTGAAGTTGAAGTCAAGTTGCCCTGCGTACAATAACCACTTTTTACCCTGAACCTCTCAGGTACGTTCAGCAGTAAGGAAGCGGTGGCACCGTTGGCAGGACAACCACGCTCTCCGAGTGCGAGTGGCACGAGCCATGTCCATCCCCACGTCTCCGACCAGGATCAGCTTTCACAGCATCAAACAGACCACAGCTGTGTGACCAGGGGCAACAAGAACATCCTGTAATCTCCTCGCAGCCTCCGAGGGAACTTACTCACTCTTCAACACAACGCAGTGATTTACAGAACAGGCTGATTCCTCAGACGTGTGTCCAATGTCTCTGAAGCTCCAGGATATTTTATCTTTTGGTGTGTTGAGGAATAGCAACAAAAATCACACATAAACTGCAAATGAAACAAAATGGACATGTAAGTTTCTCTTCTCACTAGATTTAGGTCTCATCTGTATCTTATTGTCATCTTACTGCCTGGTGGCCATTAGAGGAGCAAGAGAATCCTGCAGGATTTGGAGAAGGATACTTCACACACTGGCAGGCATGTGGGTCCATTGTTACGTTGAGGGACTGAGTTTGACTAATATGCATTCACGTGTTGCCAGACAGCCATTTGTATTTAGTGCGACGAACATCAAAATGCAAAAATGCTCTTCGAATCAACTGCTCCAACAGCTGCTTCTGACAGCTGCGAACGTAGCTTTGGGGAACGAGGTGAATCACCTGAATTAAATATTTAAAAAAAACTATAGAAATTAAAAGGAGAAGGGTTTGAAAGAGCCACTGCTCTCTGCAGTGTGATAAAGTGAGATGTGAAAAATTGGTATTCATCATTACACAATCTGAACAAGTGTACGCTTTGGTCAGTGAGACTATTTTATATAAAGAAGCCATTCTAATGGAGCCTTTATAATGTTTCCTCAGAGGAGGCTTCTCCTTTAATTCTGTTCTTTAATACAGTGCTGAATTTTGAATCTCATACCATGTTGTTTTAAAAAAATTTTGAATGGATATTCACAAACCGAACCTCCTCTCGAATGCTTTGTTCCGGATGTTTGATTCTGCTTTTATCTTTCCCCTTTGATGCATTTTGCCCTTTTCTCCTCAGAGAAGGAGGGAATGAACATAAAGAGCGATTTAAACGTTATGTGTTCGAATCTCCCCGAGGATGATGGTTGGTGGACAGCCCCAAATTAAAGCTCTCCTCCGGAAGAATAAAGATGAGATTTATTTTAAAGCAATTTATGTAATGTATACTGTGTGTGTGTAATGTGCCATGCATGGATTTATCAGGGAGGCACGGTGGAAGCAGATTAAAAAATCCTTTAGCCCTATGAGATCCTTGCAGCTTTCTCGTAATCAGCATCACAGCTGTAAGCCGCTGGCTGGAGCAGAGAGGAGCCTGATAAAGTGAGCACCGATTGCTTCCCCTGCACACTTACTCCGGTCAGATCAACATGTCAACTCTCACATCTGCTGCAGCTGCTCAAACAGACTGTGAACGACCATGTGTGCAGTGACACACAAAAATACCTGTTTTCTGCAAGAAGAGAATATTATATCAGTGATCAAAACACCTGACGTACGAGCTTCAGTGCAGATGTTTCTGTGTGTTTCCCAACATTCATGTGACGGACTGTTTCCACCACTGAAACTGGTGCAAGTTCACTTTCACCAAATCCCACATGAGCGTGCAGCCAACTCTTGGCAAGAATGTACATACAAATATTTCTCTTTTTGTTTTTTTTTTAAAATTATGATTTATCCCAGTTTGTTTTCTATTTATTTACTTGTTTCTTATTTAACTATATTTTTTTAATTGTTTGATACAGGAATAATATCAACTGGATCTACAGAACAAGACAATGTGAAACAAAACTTTGGAAATGTATTTTAAGGTGTTGTACAGGACATTTGTTTTAAAACATACTCTTCAAATTTGTATTTTGTACATTTTATTTACAACACCATGCTGCTCAAGACTCATGGTAAATGTTGTTCATGTGATTTTAATGTGAATATTTTACTTTATTTCATGCAGCTGTAACCCTGCAAACCCCCCATTGCCATCATAAACATAAAAAAAATATATATAGTTGTGAACATTTTTATACATAATCAAATTAATAAGACAATTTATCAAAAACTCACCAAAGAGACAAACCACGTTTACCAACATAAAGTTTTTATCGTCTGCATATTTATATTGTCGCCACTGCACTTTGTAAACCAAATGTTCTTTTCTACTCCATTTATTGTACATGATCAAATGTATTCGATTCGTGTGATGTCAGTTTTTGGTGACTTGGAACTGAACATTTGACCTGCTGTATTTATTGAAAGCTCTCTGTTGAACCACCCATGTTGCCTTACAAATGAAAGGAAATGCATTTTTATTTGTGAAAAAGAAGCTAATGTCTCTGTAAATGATGTATCATGGTGTTATTGTAATTATATATTTGTACATACACACGTGAAAGGAAAGAAAATATTAATTTGAATTAAAATCAATCTCTCATTCTTGCTCTTTGACTTTTCCTGTTAAAGGTCTTGCATCTTTTTCCAAGCGAGTAGTAAACAGCAGTGATCGCTGTTGACGGACTATGTGATGCATTACGTCTGGTCAGTTACGCTGAGCTATTTGACATTTGCCACAGATTGAAATAATAAGATCTGTTCAGTTGAATCCTTGGCTATCCATCCCTGCTTTCTGCCAGCATTGTGCAGAATTTAAACGCAGCACTCGTGTGACTCAATCAAGTAATTATCCTTATGATGGAGGAGACAACTGCTGCGTCGCTGGCACAGTGACATGTAAATATAGTTTGGAGTAATGGAAGGGAAGATGCCCTGAGCGTGTGCCTGCTATAGGTTATGTAATATGAATGTAGATGCAGTTTCAGGCCGGAGTGAAGTGGAGCAGAAACTACTGCCTGTGCCCAGAACCCCCAGGACTCTTGAGTTATACATCCCCAAACAATTAGCCGGGGCTTTGATGCAGCCTAATAAAGGCTTGTTGTGACAATTATTGTCTTTGATAGTCGACAACTGCATGAAAGTCAAGACAGTGGATTGGCTGTTCTGCAACTGTAACCGAAGCCAGAGGCGAGCGGCACATCTGCACTTCTTTGTGGATTGTTTGCCCTGAGCTCCCCTGCGTCCATATTGAATTGTTTTCACCAGTCATTACCTCGGCTAAAAATAAGAAACTGGCATGACAGCCCGAGGCTACCAGCACCGTCTTAACATTGCTTCATCATTTATTATGTAAAATCTATAATGATGCAGAGAATACCATCAAAAAACACAATGATGGTTTGAGAATGAATGATCATGATATCACCCCTGTCAATTCTACACATCTCACTATCACGTCATCTTGAAATTGTGATTTTAAATTCATCCAACAATATTGTCAGAGTAAATTATAATTCAAACTAGACTGTGACTCTGAACAGTTCTTATCTCCGCCAAATCATGTTGGAAATTCTGAGAGCTTCAGTCCAAGTCCGAAACAGTTTCCTCTGCGTCCACCAAAGACATTTTTTACCAGACAACGATAAAAACACAACGTGTTGCATTATGGGAAATTTAGGATTAAACACTATCGCCAAAGGAATGAAAGTTGGGATGTCTCTTTTTATAAGAACAGATAATGAAGTGCAGTACTGAACAGTATTCATTTGTATATTATTTCCTTAAAACATCTCTATGTGTTCAACAGTGAAAACAGAGGGAACATTTCTAAGTTGATTACATTGATCACATCCTGGTTCAACATGAGAAACATTTTCCATTGGTTACTTCAAAGCGTTATGGCTCCTCCACCCACTAATAAGAGCCATTATTAAACAGTTTCTCCTGATGGAAGTAAAGTGGACTGCATTTGGGTTTATTTTATGTCTGTCGCACTGAAGCTGCATCAGCTGAATCCTGTTGAATGTCCAATAAATATGCAAAGGGAACGTTGGATATAATTCAACTCACTCAGGCCAAAGCAAATAATTTGAAAGGAGACTATTTTATTTCATAAACATGTTTCCTATAAGCACAAACCCTTGGGAATTGTGGCTTCATACGATTAAAGTGCACTTTCACAAGAACAGCATTACTCTTTACCTGGAATCACATTAAGGAAATTATTTCATTATGATGCAGTCGCTTTACTGAATTACCGAAGCTCTGCGGTCGAGTCAAAATATCCAAGCAACTATAAATGGTCGCCTTTCTCGTTGGATGTCCAGCGGAAAATTGGCTTTGCGCAAATAATGGCTATAAATATATAGCCTGACGCTCGGGCTGGAAGTGGAGAGCTGACTGAGGAAGATTACGTGGTGTGACGGAGGCCAGTGAGGGAGAGGTTTCTGAAGAAGCTATTTGTGGTGAAGCTAAAGGTTATATTAGTGTTCAAATTAAAATTGCACTGCTGAATTTGTTTCCAAATGACTCCCTAACAAGCTGGAGGACCAACCATCATCGACTCATGCTGCGCAGCAAAAAGCACTGTTTCCAAAAATACAACATGTACATTATACTTTTGAGAGTATGCCTATTAAACAGATGCAAAAGACATTTGAAATATATTCATTTGACTGAATGGTTTCTACATTACAAATGGTACCATCGGTGGAAAAAGATGATTTCACCAACCCTAACTCTGCTTGAAGGGAAATAACACAAGTGGTAATTTATCTTCACCCTCGAAGCAAAACACTTTGAGTTATAGCTTGAGAACTGTCAGCTCGGTCAACAGGAACCTGCTGAAGTTTGTTGGTACTGTTACAGGCTGCACTTGGCAAATACACTGATATTCAATGGTGTGAATCCGCCAACATGGCAGATGACAAACACCAGCTCATTCAGAACTCTGCAGCTCGTTCTGTTAACGTGAACCAAGAGGAGAGAACACATTAGTCCAGTTGCTCTGCTCAGGATTGACTTCAAGGTTCTCCTCCTTACATACTCCTACATAACTTGAGAGATAGCGCTATCTACTGGTCAATGAGAGGAAATACAACTATTTTTCATATTTCCATCAAATGATATCCACTGATGGATCTTTATAGTACATACTTTTTCAGTTTTTTCCCCCTTGATTGAGGTTTTCAATTAGTATATTATGTTTATTATGATCCTACAATATTTACAATACAGTAATTAATTGTACTTTTATTATATCAACATACCAAACGCAAACCTTCTTTCCCAAGTTGTGCTGAACAACATTTTCAGGCATTTCCAACAATTTTAGGTAACAAGAATAATGGCAGTTAATACTTGTTTGTGTGTGAAGTATTCTTAATTAAAAATACTTTAATGTAATAAAGTCAGCCTTCATGCATACCTTCATGTATAGCAGAGGCAGATTTTTATTTTTCTTCATTGATGTTATTTAATTATTTAGGGTTAGGTTAAGAAAACACATTTTCTTATTATGATTATTAATATACTTATATGATATATATTTCTTAAAATTATATCAAACTTACTGTTATATTCGGTTCTGTCCTAAATTAAAGCAGGAATCAAAACAAAGAAAAACTGTCTTCTTTCCTTGTTCCCTCTTTTAATCCACCCATCAAACCAGCTGGCAGGTTAACAAGCAGCCCAGACATCTCTCTCCTCAGCAACATCCTCGAGCTCCTCCTGGGGATCCTGCAGCATTCCGAGGTCTGATGAGCTCTATTGTCTGTCCTGCATGTTCTGGCTCTACCCTGGGGTCTCCTGGCAGTCAGATATGTGCCCAGAGAACATGCACGGGTAGCTGTCTTCTTTGTAATTTAATAACTATAACTCCAGCAAAGGCAGATCATTTAAAAAAAGAGAACTCAATCAAATGTGTTTCTTTATTGATGAGGATCTACAGTGTGAACATGGGCAGTGTGTGCACAACATCAACACAATCTTCAAATAAATAGTATTAAAAGTTATAGATATATTGATGAGTCACAGATGAATTGGAGAAGCTTGGAAATGAGAAATATACATGATAGGATTCACAGAAACCTGAATTATAATCCAGTGTTTATATTTCTTAGTGAAGGACAAACTACTCATCACTCACACATTTCATGAGGCAGAGTGATGTAGCACCACAGTGACAACAAGGCAGACACACATGTACCCTTTTTAAGATGCCATAATGTATTTCACAAAAGCTTCATAATTGATGCATCCATTCTGATCCTCCTGGTTTTGCATCAGCTGCTCCACCTCATCCTCTCTCATCTTCTCACCTGAAAGAAAGACAACAAAGAAAACAACCAGCTCTGTGTGAATTCTCATTAACAGCAGCATTAAAAAAAGACATCTGTGTGCGGTGAGACTCACCCAGTGTTGCCAGAACGTGCCGGAGCTCAGCTCCCATGACTGAGCCGTTCCCCTCCTTGTCAAACACCCTCAGACCCTCCACAAAGTCTTCATATGTTCCACAGTCCTTGGCCTTGCAAATGTGCTGGTGGATGGGGAGGAACTGTTCAAAGTCAAGCATCTTGGTCTGCATGTCTGTGGAAACAAAAATAATGGAAGTGCTGATTTCCCAAAGTTAAAAATAACTCAGGCTGGTGTTTGAATCTATTTGAATCTTTCTTTGTATTCAACACACGCTGGACCGACATTTAGCACAGACACTAATCCAACACTGACCACATACAGGGGAATCCTTCAGTATCGTGATGTGCATGCTACCAACCTTCAGGCTTGGGTTTCCCGAGGACATGCATGATCTCTACGTTTGTAGGATTCTGGCCCAAAGCCCTAATTAGGTCACCGCACTGGGCGTAAGTGATTTTCATCTCGTTAGCTGGAGTCCTGTCAAACAGCTGGAAAGCATCTTTGAAATCTGTGAACACAGAAAAAGATGTTTACTTCTCCAGAGTTCGCCTCAGCTCATTGTGACCTGAGCCACACGCGGCCTCTTTGAGGAGAAGCCTTGAAGATGCTGCCTGTATAGTGATTATGTATAATGACAAGCCTCGGATCAATCCCTCTCTTTTAGACTGAGCAAGGGTTTTTTGACTCAACGCTGATTGACACATGCCTCCTGTCAAAGTGAACCACTTGGATGGAGGTGTTTTCTCTTGAAATAATGGCTTAGCCCTGAACCATCAGCTGCAGTTGATCATTTCTCACACTAATGGAGAGCACAATCACACAAACCCATCTATGAATAGCATGCAGTTCATGCAACACAAACGACAA